TTATTCATGAGAGACAGAGAGAGAGAGGCAGAGGGAGAAGCAGGCTCCCAAGGAGCAGAGAGCCCGATGCGGGACTCGATCCCAGGATCCTGGGATCATGACCTGAGCCGAAGGCAGACGCTTAACCATCTGAGCCACCCAGGCGCCCCCTGAAACCTGTCTTTTAAACAAATAAACAAACAAAGCCATTTCTTCTCTGCTTTTCTGCCAAGAAGGAGAGCCCCAACCTCTGCTGTGTCTCCAGGGGCACAGAGCTTACTCTAGCTCAAAGCAGTCTGTTCCATTATTGGACAGCTCTGACTTAGAAATGTCTTCCTCAGGTTGAGCATCTATCAGCCAGCCTGGACTTCTCATCCATCCGGTCTGGCTCAGCTGCATGAGATCATCAGCCCCTTCTTCCACATAACAGCCTTCAAGTGTTTAAAGGGGGTCCTATCTCTTTCTCTGCTAGCCTCCCCGCTATTAAACTTCTCCAGTTCCTGATATGATCTCTTCCAGAGCTTGATTTGAGTTTTCTCACTTTCCGGGGGCAGTGTGAGTTCTCCAGGGAGGTGAGGTCTCACTGTGCAGCAGAGTGGGGGCTGACTGTCCAGGGCCTCAGGAACTGGCTGTGTGACAAATGAGTTCTGTTTAACAAGCTGTCAAATTTCAGATCCAGGAATCCTCATTCGCTTGAATGTTCCATGATCAGTACCAAGTATGGTGATCTCCCTGAGGAGGCTGCAGTGGGCGCCTACATCAAGATCCACACTGTGGAGGAAGGAGAAACTGTGGTGAGTGTACAGAGAGCCTCGTTCATGATAGAGTGTGTAACATGGCAGGCTGGGAGTGTTAAGTAGTAACAGGAAAGGTTTAAAAACATCCCACTCTATATTTGGTGATATTAAGGAATATTATTGATTTTTTAAGATATGATAACAGTACCATGGTTATGTTTTTTTAAGAGTCCTTATATTTAGGAGATACATATCAAAATACAGATAAAATGATATGACATCTGGGACTTGCTTTAAAATAATCCAGGAACAAGGCAAGGATGTACCCTCTCACTACTCTTGTTCAACATTGTACTAGAAGACCTCGCTAGTGCCTTAAGACAAGAAAAGGAAATAAAACATTTGGGAAGAAAGAAATAAAGCTGTCTTGTTTGCAGTTGTTTGTCTATGTAGACAACTTCAAAGAATCAAAAAACAAAACAAAACAAAACCCTCCTGAAGTGAATAAATTATTATAGCAAGATCACAGGGTATAAGGCAATGAACATTGGAATTTGAGATAAAAACAATACCCTTTACAATAGCACCAAAAATGAAATGCTTAGGTATAAATCTAACAAAGTATGTTCAGGATCCACATGCAGAAAACTGATAATTATAATGAAAGAATTCACGGGGCCCCTGGGTGGCTCAGTCGGTTAAGCACCCGCCTTCCACTCAGGTCATGGTCTCAGGGTCCTGGGATGAAGCCCCACATCAGGCTCTCTGCTCAGCGGGGAATCTGCTTTTCCCTCTCCCTCTGCCCCTCCCCCATGCTTGCGTGGCTCTCTCTCTCAAATAAATAAATAAATAAAATATATATCACAATGATACTAATAATAACATCAGTGTCACAATCTCCATGTTGCCCCAAGTACCACTGCACTCAAGTCCTTTGCCTATTAACATTTCTAGCCTGCTGGCCTCCATAAGGAGGATCCCATGACTTCTGAGTTGTTATTCCCTCTGATGGATATTCTTTCCAAGGGATCCAGTGCTTGAAGTCCCAGTCCCAGTTCTTCTGAAGGTAGGGATGGAACAGACCCAGGTTCTCTGCTGTAAGGAAGAAGAGACAGGTTGGACCCAGAAATGAAAAATAAAGACCATGCTGGGCATGTCCTGAGGGGTGAGAATTACAGGCTGCCTTGTTTATGTGTTGGGTGAGTTTATGAGTTGGGTGAATATATCAGCTATATTCTCAGCTGATAAATAATTTTTTCCCTGCCTCTAATCCAGATAGCATAGCCTGTCTCTTCCTTCTACCTCTCCTGAGACCAAAGAAAGCACAAGATCACCTGTGTAAAATTAATTCCAACATGAACAAAATACAGAATCTACAGGCTGCCCAAGGAAACCTGTCTTTTATTTATTTATTTTTTATTTTTATTTTTTTAAAGATTTTATTTATTTATTTGACAGAGAGAGACACAGCAAGAGAGGGA